AAGTTAATCCAATTGTTGTCCAACTGATCCTCTTTCCTGTTGATCCGCATGTATTGCATAAAAGTGGTGCTCCTGTCGGACATACAGACAATCATATGATTAGTATCACCACTACTGGCCCTCACTGTCCACTCCATGGACACAATGGACTCACTTTTTAGATGCCTTTAAGTGTTTCCTCAGAGCCTTCAGCATAAGTATTGTTTGGTTATCACATACACTAAGCTATGGTATGGATGTATGGACACAATCGCACCACCACTTCATCTGATGGTCACTCAACACATCCTCAATACGTCATCAATACATCAGTGTCTGTGTGTTCACCACAATGGCTGTGTCTGCAAACAATGGTCACAAGTGTCACACTCTGATGATAATGATCACTATTGTAGGCTATTTGCGGACAACACTAATGCCTGTTAATTGTGAGCCTCGATGTACACCACAATCACATGCATTACATGATCACTGATCGCAATAAGCACTCATTACCAGTGATTTGAACAGTAATTCAATGCATTCATCGATACATTAATATTCCGTAACTATAATAGTGTTGTTGTGTTCACTCATTCACTCAATACTGTACCTCACAGTCAGTCAGTTGTGCGTCAATACAATCCAATGAATACAATGTAGTGTTGAGTCAATCGTCAGATCACCTGATTTACAGTCAAACACAACCATTATATACGTCCCTAACATACACAGCAACACAACACCTGTTTAGCCGTTTGCTCAATAAACTGATCACTTTTCACACAAACACTTCATTACATGTCTTATGATTAATATGTGTCTCGTTGTCATTGATTAATACGACCACTCAATACACAGTATCACCTAATTTACGATCACTTCAAATGTCACATCTTTTATGGCCACTGAATATGATTTTCGTTTTTATGCTTTTCATTAATCGATAACAGAGAGGGTATGCCCTCTCGTGTCTAATATAAGCGTAATTCATATTCAATTCACGTGACCACAGATTCTGTAACACAGAATAAGTTTCAAGAATTTAATTAGTGTACCAGCAATAATGAGCATGGTTATGTGCCGTATATAAATAGTGAATTATATATTTACAATAAATGAATAGACATGGATTCATTTGACTGGAATCAACATTTTATTAATATATGTGTCATATAAATGCATTTTATTGATCAACTGATCGATAATTGA